GTCCATGGGCTGTGCATATATGCTTATAAGTTCTTTGGTCAATCTCTTCCTGCCCTCCTTCTCACCTTCCCTCTGAGATCTGTCAGTCTGTTTCATGCTTCCATGTCTGAGGTCCTATCTTGTTCGTCAGTTTCTTTCGTTCATTAGATTCCACATATAATTGAGATCATGTGATATTTGTCTTTCTCTGCCTGGCTTGTTTCACTTAGCATAATACTCTCCAGGTCCCTCCGTGCTGTCCCAAAGGGTAAGAGATCCTTCTCTTTACAGCTGCGTAGTATTCCATGGTGTAAATGTCCCACAGGTTTTTTATCCATTCATCTACTGATGGGCACTTGACCTGTTTCCAGATCTTAGCTACTGTAAATAGTAATGCTGTGAATATAGGGGTGCATAAGTTCTTTGTGATTGGTGTTTTGGAATTCTTAGGTTATATTCCTTGAAGGGGGATCACTGGGTCAAATGGCAATTCCATTTTTAATTTTTTGAGGAAACTCCATACTGTTTTCCACAGTGGCTGCACCAGTCTGCATTCCCACCAGCAGTGTACTAGGGTCCCCTTTCTCCACACCCTCGCCAACACTTGTCATTTGTTGATTTGTTGATGGGAACCATTCTGGCAGGTGTGACGTGATTACTGTAGTACGTCATTTCCATTTGGGATATGCAATATGATGTGGATGTGCCCTCAGGTTTTAACCAGGATAACTTTAGAATGAAAAATTAATGATGAGAATAAAATTTGATGAACACTTGGGCTTGTGAGAAATATTTATAACCTCAAAATGACATTTACAAACCAATTAGCTTGGTTTTAATCCATTCCATTTGAACTTCATGAGGATGGTGACACAGGTGCTATTTTCTGCTTGGCTAATCCCAACATCACTCTTCAGTTGGTTTTAGAGTCTACTTTTCTAAGAATTAGCTCTATCATTTGGTAAGTTTTACTCCTGAAATGGTCTCAGACTAAACTTTGCATGCATGCGATTCATTAGTTTTTAAAAAACTATTCAAGGGCAAATATATGGCAGTTGCTATAAAAGAGAAGACTGCCTTTAAGTCCTTTTATTTGGGTGTGATATCAATTGTGCAAACAAGTGGTGTTTTCTTTCTTCCATCTTTGTCCCAATCATCACATTTTGGTACCCTAAAAACAGGAAACTTTAATAAGGAGTTTACACTAAGTGAAATCAAAAGAGTAAAACCATACGAACTTAGAAGGATGTTGTTAATTTAAATAATCAGAACTTTTTATGGGCATGCATACTCATTTCATATCATTTAGTTTGATATTTTTTCTGGAACCCACTATAGAATACCCCTGTTTTCAGAAAATATAACATGGTTGGAATGTATTGGTCGTCTTCACGTGTATAGCGTTTCAACCAGAAATTATTATTATAACTCTCTCAGACTCTTTAGAACCAAATTCTCTGAGGTGCGAAGTGTTCTT